TGTGGCAAACATTATTTTCTTGGGAGCCTTCCGAGGAATGGGATTCATAGAAAGGAATCTACAAGCGTGCCCTTTGCCACTCTATGGGTTCATTGGGGACAGCCTGGTTCCCAAAGGTACTATCGACCTCCCCATAACTCCAAAGGTCGAACCAAAGGTCAGAACTGTGATGGCCAAATTTTGGGTTGTAGACTGCCCGATCACGTATAACGTCATCCTTAGAAGGCCAATCTTGGATGATTTAAGGGTGATCACGTCGATGCACTGCCAAGCAATGAGATTTCTGACTCTAGAGGGAGTCAAGACAATCAAGAGTTGCACCAAAGAATCATGAGAATGTTTTAATCGAGCCATAAGCGCTGCACAGAAATGGCCACACCCACCAAAGACCATGATCATCGTAGAATCCAAGCCATACCTCGGACCGCTAAAAGACTCTATAGATCCTCGTAGACACAAAGAAGAGTTCGCTGCGGGACCAACCAAAGAGGTGGTAGGAGTAAGTGTTAGCAAGGAGGATCTAACTCGCATACTGAAGATCGGTATCAGCTTGAGCAGAGTGATGGCTGATAATCTGGTCGAGTTCCTGAAAAAGAACCTCGACGTATTCGCGTGGGTACACGCTGATATGGTCGGGATCAGCCCCGAAGTGATATCCCACAAGTTAAACCTCGACTCAAAGGCTCGGCCCATAAGACAGAAAAAAAGGCCATGGAAGTAGAACGCTCTCAAATGCTCAAAGATGAAGTCGACAAGCTCCTAGAAATCAACTTCATCAGGGAAGTCAGGTACTTGGACTGGCTCACCAACCCGGTCCTAGTCAAGAAGTCGAATGCCAAGTGGTGGACTTGCGTCGACTTTACAGATCTAAACAAAGCCTATCCGAAAAACAACTTTCCGCTACCACAGATCAACTAGCTTGTAGATGCTATGGTGGGAAACGCACTACTTAGCTTTATGGACACATACTTGGGATATAACTAGATTTTGATGTACCAGCCTGACGAAGAGCATACTTCTTTTATTACTGACCGTGGAATTTATTGTACAGGGTTATGCCATTTGGCCTCAAGGATATTGGCATGACCTGCCAACGCTTGGTGAACAAGATATTCGCTAGTCAAATTGGCCATTCCATGGAAGTATACATCAACAATATGCTCGTCAAATCAAAGGTCACTGAAAGTCATAATAAGCTCCTGAGGGAAATGTTCTACATCTTTAGAACATATCAAATGAAGCTCAATCCATTGAAATCTGCTTTCGAAGTGAGCTTTGGAAAATTCCTAGGCTACCTCGTAAACCAATGGGGTATAAAAGCTAACTCGGAGAAGATTTAGGCTTTGATCGACATGAAAAGCCCGACTGGCATTAAACAGGTATAGTGTCTGACTGGACATGTGGTCGTGCTCAGCAAGTTCGTTTCCCGAGCCTAGGACAGGCGTTTATTGTATTTTGAGACCTTGAAGGGGAAAAAAGGTTTCAAGTGGACAAAGGAGTGTGAGAGAGTGTTCCAGAAGCTAAAAGAACACCTCGGGCAACCCCTCATGTTGTTAAAGCCCATCTAAGGTGAGCCGCTACTACTGTATCTATCAGTATCCAAACCTGTTGTCAACGCAACGTTGGTACGCGAAAAGGAAAGAATACAATGGCCCATGTACTATGTGAGTAAGAGACTACTAGACGCGGAGACTGCTAGATACCCAGAGATGGAAAAGCTCGCCTACGCCCTTGTTGTTGCCGCCAGGAAGTTGAGACCTTATTTCTAGGCACACTCCATCCATGTGCTGACGAACTTCCCTTTGAAGAAAATAATGTAGAAGCCTAAGGCATCGGGTAAACTAATCCAATGGATAATCCCAAAGACATCGATCGAAGGCCATGCCGTGGCAGACTTTATATCTGATTCTCTTATCAGCTAGACGTCAAGCCAAGCCTATCAGAGATAGATACCTTAAAAGAGATCGAGCAATAGAAACCAAAGAGTGACAACTTATGGCTATGGACTCTGTATATAGATGGCTCCTAGAATGAGAAAGGAGTAGGAGCGGGCCTCTTGCTCGAAAGTCCGGAGGGAGATCCAATCAAAGCTGTAATAAGGTTCGAGTTCAATGCCTCCAATAACGAAGTTGAATATAAGACATTGCTTACAGGTCTTTGTCTCGCTAGAGAAATAGGGGCAAAGTCCATTAAGATCTATAATGACTCACAACTTGTGGTCCATCAAGTTACCGAGGAATACCAGGCAAAGGAAGACAGGATGGCATCTTACCTCCAGCAAGTGGAGATCAAGCTTAGATAGTTTAGATCCTTTACCATCCACCAGATCCCAAGGGAAAGAAACTCACAAGCAGATGCACTAACTCGCCTGGCCTCTGCAATGAACAATGAAAAGGCCAATTCAATCCCGGTTAAATTCCTCCCGAAATCAAGCATCTTCACTTCACAAGATCCAGTGTTAGCCATAAGTCAAAGGTATAGCTGGATGGATGCAATCATCGCCTACTTAAAGGATGGCACACTGCTAGAGGACAGAACTAAAGTTAGAACACTCCGCACAAAAGCAGCTTTGTACATGCTCGTCAATAATAAACTGTACAAGTGAGGCTTCAATGTACCGTTCCTGCGATGTATTGACCACGAAGATGCAAATTATGTTCTAAGAGAGATACATGAGGGCATTTTCAGAAACCATGCAGGGGGCAGATTTCTAGCTTACAAGATGCTTCGCTAGGGATACTATTGGTTAACCTTTTATGATGATGGGACAGACTACATTCGTAGATGTGAAAGATGCCAGAGATTTCAAACATTCTGCGAGCTCCTCTATAGGAATTGACCACTCTGACAAGCCCTTGGCCATTCGCGATTTGGGACATCGACCTTTTTGGCCCATTGCCTTAGGAAAAAAAGGGCGTTAAGTTCGCGGTTGTTGCTGTAGATTACTTTACCAAGTAGGCGGGAGCCGAGCCATTGGTGACGATAACGTTGAACAGGATGAAAGATTTTATCTATAAGAGCATCATTTGTCAGTTTGGAATTCCCCACACAATAATAACCGACAATGGGAAACAGTTCGACAGTGAAGATTTCAGGACCTTCTACGAGTGGCTTGGCATCAAAAAGAGTTTCACAGCCGTCTATCGACCTCAAGCCAATGGACAAGTAGAAGCTGTGAACAAAGTAATCAAGCACACCATAAAGAAAAAGCTTGACGACCTTAAAGGGAGGTGGGCTGACAAGCTATCGGAAGCTCTATGGTCTTATAGAATGACTGCTAGGAGCTCGACGAGTGAGACATCGTTTTCTTTGTCTTATGGATATGAAGCAATGGTCCCAGTCGAAGTAGGAATCAGTTCATTTCGAAGAGAAATCTTTTAAGAAGAAGCCAATGAAGACCTACTCCACTTGAGGTTAGATCTAATCGAAGAACATCGGTCTAAATCTCAGTTAAGGCTCGCCTCTTATCAATAGCGGGCCAAGCGGTATTTCAATACCAAAGTCAGAAATAGGGACTTTGAAGTGGGCGATCTGGTTCTTAGGAAGGTCGTCCAGGGTACCCAAAACCTGAACTTGGGGGCACTGGGACCCAGGTGGAATGGTCCCTTTAGGATCTTTGAAAAGCTTGCACCAGGATTTTTCCACCTAGAACGCCACAATAGCGAAGCAATAATGCGAACTTAGAACGCCAAGCACTTGCGAAGGTATTACCAATAAGCAGCTCGAGTTCTATTTATTTCTATGAACCACATTTGTTGTAAGGCTATTTACGGCCAAAACACTTGATCAATAAAAGAGGTATTATTCAGTACTTGCTTTGTTTATAATTTACATTTTTTAGTTCGTTGACAATTAAATACCAATCAATAAATCATGACCTACGCAATGAAATTCCAAAAGAAAACTCGGAGTCAAGAGTCCAGGAAAGGCTGCGTACTTCGAAAAAACCACGCCAAAATCCAACTCTTTGAGGATAAAACATCATAAATCGACGAAGTTAAACTTGAGTTTTAAAATCAAGGAAAAAACACGTCAAAGGAAATTGGCTCTAAGTTAGCGACCAAAGAACTCGAAAGGGACAGTAAAGTCTAAAATCGAAGTTTATCGTCGCATCAGATTTCGTCACATAAATTGGGATTGAAAATCCCAGGTCGACAAAGTTGAACTTAGAAAAATCCAAGAAAGAGCACATCGAAAAAAATCGGCCTTAAGTGGGGGACGAAAGCCTGAAAAGGATGACAACTCTGAAATCGGTGCCAAATGTCGCATAAAGATTTTTTCGCAAAAAATCTGAAAAACTCCTAAAGAAGCGAGCTACGCATGACTTGGAGCAAAATTCGGGTCCAAAGTCCGATTAGGACGAATTAAATGACTCTGCAGAAATGAAACAATCATTACTCAAAAGAGAAATGTTAAAAAATGTTCTTTCATTAACTAGAAGTTTAGTTACATTTGGGCAGTATAAAAAAAACAAAAAAAAGACTTAAGATTCTTCAGGTTGATGGGGGAGTAGGGCGTTCGTCTTCAACCTCGTGTCTGGAAACCTCACTCGGGAGGACTGTGGTCAAAGGATCCGGGTCTTTAACCTCCAGCTTGGGCCTAGCCTCCTCGCCACCTTTTCTGACCTCTTCCTAGCCCTTACCAACATTCTGAAGTCATCTGAGTACACATAGGTCATCCCTTGGGCCTCGACCTTTATCCTTTCGACCTCCTTCTAATAAGCTCGCAGAAGAAAAAAAAATTCAAGCGACGGATGAGCATAATTTTTGCATAAGGAAGACTAACGTCTCCCAGGATTAGGTAGTGATGACTTCATTCAGCTTCTCAATCCTAAGCCTGAGGTGCTCAGCCCCAGCTTTGACATTTTGCCGACCTACTATTTCCTGGGTAAGGTCGAGCGAAGCCTGCTTGAATTTGGCCTCCCAGCTCGCTGCTTCTTTTTGGGCTGAGGAAAGCTCAGAGTTTAGCTTGTTGTTGGCTCCTCGCTACTGAGCCAAACTCTAGTTGGCCTCTGTTGCCTTAGCTTTAGCCTTACTCTGAGCAGCCGCACTCACCTTGAGTTTGTCAAGGAACTCCCTTTCCTTGAACCCAAAGGCCGCAACTTGCTCTTTAAGGAGCTCAAGGTCAGCTTGCCTAGCCTCTTTCTCTTTCTCCTTCTCCGCAACCTCGGCCCTTGCCAAGGCATCCTCTTTTACCGTCTCTGCCAGCATCCATCCTTTGTGAGTTCCCTCCAAGGTTTGGCTACATTCTTCATACAAGAGTGGGCTCACCATGGCAACCTGAAAACGAAAAGGTGAGAAACGAGCAAGAAACAAGGATAGCATTAAAAAAAAAAAAAAAAAAAAAAAATAGCGAGCTACCAGTACGTTAGCCGTATAACTGCAAGTTAAGGCCAATATCTAGGAAGGAGTCGAGTCCCTAACAGCCACGAATGTTCGTAGGGTAATGAAATCCCTAGCTACCATAGCCCTAAAATCGATATGGTCGGGGAGTTGGTTGATCAGAGCGTGGACTTCAACCTTGGTTGCTTTGCCCGTCCCCCCATCCTTTGGTTGGACGGGCCAGGTCTACTCCCCCTTACAGTAGCTGCCACATCTGTAGGAGTGGGCTTCTTCTTGGCTGCACTTTTGGCCGTACTTTTCTCAATGCCGCCAGCATGCGTAGCGACCTCTTTGCCCGAGCCCCCATGAGGCTCAATCACCTTCTTCTTCCCCAAGCCATTATGCTGCTCGGGTGCTTTACCTTTTCTCGAGCCTACAGTTGGCTCAAACGTCTTCTTCGCTGGCCTCTTAGGGGGCTCGGTGGCACTCTTCTCACCAATCGCCTTAGAGATAGTCGTGGATTTCTTTGCAGTTGGGCCTTCCGCAAGCTCACCTTCGGCACGCTTCATGCCATGGCATCCGCGGGCTGTTTTGTCACTAAAGCAGCCGATGCCTTCGGGGTAGCCGCCAACACCGCTGTTTTCTTCTTAAGGCCTTTGGGTTTTTCAGCCCACATTTTTGCAAGGAAAAAGGGAAATGAGTTAGCGATCAATTTGTGCGAGAAATCAAACGTGAGCAAGCAACAACTTACCTTTCTCCAAAAGTGCTAAAAATCTGGCCTTGTCCCTACAAAAACTATACACCTTTAGGTGAAGAAGCATAAGAAGCTCGTGGACATTGTACGAACTATCAGAAAGATTGCTTAAACATGCAGCCTTTGCAAGCTCACCGTAGAGAGATAGTTCTGCTCGACGTTAACTGTAATAGAAAGAAATTCGGTTAGATAATGAAGACACCGCTCGTCCCGGCCTTGTAGAAGAAGAATTAGGAATCCTAGTGTGAGACCTTCTTCAGGACATCGATCAACCTGTTGAAACGTACTTTCCTCGCCTTGGAAAGGTAGTACGTGTGGCCTTGCCCCTTTTTGAGCCTGTACAAGTGTACAAGCTCTTCGATGGACAGCTCGCCTAGCTCAGCGATCATGTATGCGATGTATACCCCGGTAATGATCAAGTAAGAATTGGCCGTCAGCTGGAGAGGAGTGATGTCAAATCTCCTCAACACTTTGTCAATGAAAGGGTATGGGGGAATGGATACCCCACACCTGAGAAGAGTCTCAGAAGTTGCCACCTATCCAACTGGAGGGTTTTTCAGAGAATGTTCTCCCGGGGTCGTCAGGTTGAGCTGTGGTGCATAGCTCACCCTGATGCGTTCAAGATCCTCGAGGGTGATCAAGGATTGTGGCTCTTTTCGTAGCCTGTGAGCTAGAGACAACGAGGAATGAGCCAGTTAGATTGAAGCATGGTCAGACAAGCCTGTAACGTCGGGGTCTGAGCTTTTAGAGACAAACTCTTCTGATATCTCAGGGGACACATCCCTTAGTACTGCTGAGCCAACCGGATCGAATATTCGATCTATTGTACGACTGCTAGATGAGGACATGGTTATAGCTCAACTCTAGGTACTTGAAAAAAAGAAGCGAACATGTGTTAGAGCTTGAACAACTCGGTAACCATTCCATATTCGCTTCCATCTCAGGCACCCAAAATAGCTTGTGCAACACAACAAAGTCATGCGACCAACCTAGGACACCGATGACCACCGTGATTAAACCCCTTTAAAACTCGAGACCGCTAGAAACACACCCTAAAAACCCTACTAAAATCTTAAAACATCCAATGTGGCCACAACAGCAGCCACCCTTTAGCACAAAAGTCAGAAAAATGAGCAAGGAAGAGAAAGAAGTCTTACCGGAATAAAGAAGCACGCTGAGAACTTGTAAGAAAGACCACCGCAACGATGTAAGAGCAATGGCAAAGAAAAGCAAGAGGGTGGAAGAACTTTCAGAATGACTATTTTGAGTATTCGCCACCTTTTATAGTGATTTTTCCATGGAAGACGAAAGGGCGAAGTTCAATCTCGACCATCGACTCACAACTGATCCTAGCCTTTCATTCGCTGAGCGATCTCAGCCCTTGAATGTAGCCACGTATTGACCATCCATGAGGTGTGATGAACCATCGAAAATGATAACTGACTTCGCGCGTGAACATTTGTTATCGCCCACACGCGACGAAATGTAACTGACAAAGGCTGCCACATTTAATGCGACACGACCATGCAGAAATTACATTTATACCCTGACTTTTTGTATTTTGAGTTTTGACAGGTGGCACAGGTAATAATGTCCAAGTGTGAAGAACGTTGACCAAATGTAAGGTTGGTTATGGAAGCCCAATCGAGCATGCACTCAAAGACCCATTATTGAAGCCGAGCTTGGCGTCAGATCAAGCAATAGTCTTCGAAGCCTGAAACGAGTATCGAACATTAGGGGGCAGATGTTGTATGTGGTTTTTTTGCTAAGCTTGGGCTAACGCAAGGATATAGCTCAGCCTAGAATGACGTCGGCAACTATGATTGATTGACCCAACATAACCTCGTCGAGTCGTAGCTCAACCCAACACAAGCTAGTTGCGAAAAATCTTATGAATCAATCAATCAATCCCCAGATTACATCAGATCCCGGATATCATGGGAATAACTGGATCAACAGCTATTGTTGCACAATCATAGCCCTTAATCACAAGGATATCGGAATTGTGATTCAAATAATTTGTAATCCCCTTAATTTTTCTCTTTCCTTTATGTAAATCTTGTATATATATACCCCTTAAAACGATGAGGAGGGGGATACAAATTCTGGATTACAACTATATTGTAAGCACTCACAGCATATACAGTAAACACAGAGGACGTAGGTAGTTAACTTCACCAAACCACTTTAAAAGTTCTCTTTGTCATTTACTTTTGGGCATTATCATTCACTCATCGTTGATTACCTGTAATCACGCCCATATCAGTTTCGATCCCGACAAGGTCGATCGAATCTCACTGGTTGGCACAGATTTCTGTATCAACACACAACAAGGGCATGCACACCAAAAAAAAGGAAGCAAGGAGCCTTTTTTTTTTTTTTCTTTGCACGAGCCTAACCCAAAAAGAAGGAAGCAATTTGCATGAGCCTTTTTTTTAATGATTTTTTGAAATTAAAATTTTGGAAAATCGTAAAAAATCACATACTATGCATTTTGGGTCGGGGTTTGTTTTGTTGTGCTCCTAAAATCCCAATTTCAATTGTGGTGAATACATTTGGTTGGGAGATCTTGAACTTTGTAGAGGACAATCTTTTGAAAAGAAGGTGTTTGGTGCATAGCAAAGGTGTGCACACCAAGGGACGATCTTTTCGAAGGCTGTCCTTTTGATCTGGTTTTTTGCATGATGGTGGAAAAAAATTCAAGGAACCTAATCCAAAAAGAAGGTAGCAATTTGCTAGAGCCTTTTTTTTTAATGATTTTTTGAATATTAAAACGTTGGAAAATCATAAAAAATCACATAGTATGCATTTTGGGTCGGGGTTTGTTTTGTTGTGCCCCTAAAATCCTCATTTGAAATGTGTTGTGTACATTTGGTCAAGAGATCTTGAACTTTGCAGGGGACGATCTTTTGAAAAGAAGGTTTTTGGTGCACAGCAAAGTCGTGCACACCAAGGGACAATCTTTTCGAAGGTTGTCTTTTTGATCTGGTTTTTTCCATGATGGTGGAAAAAAATTCAACGAACCTAATCCAAAAAGAAGGAAGCAATCTGCCTGAGCCTTTTTTTTTTAATGATTTTTTGAAGATTAAAATTTTGGAAAATTGTAAAAAATCACATAGTATGCATTTTGGGTCGGGCTTTGTTTTGTTGTGCTAAAAAAATCCCCATTTGAACTGTGGTGTGTACATTTGGTCGCAAGATCTTGAACTTTATGGGGGACGATCTTTTGAAAAGAAGGTTTTTGGTGCACAGCAAGAGCGTGCACACCAAGGGATGATATTTTCAAAGGTTGTCCTTTTAATATGGTTTTTTGCATGGTAGAAGGGAAAAATTTAAGGAACATAAGCCAAAAAGAAGGAAGCAATTTGCACCAGCCGTTTTTTTATATTTTTTTAAAATTAAAACTTTGGAAAATCGTAAAAAATCACGTACTATACATTTTGGGTCGGAGTTTATTTTGTTGTGGTCTTAAAATCCCTATTTGCATTGTGGTGTGTACATTTGGTCGGGAGATCTTGAACATTGTAGGGGTCGATATTTTGAAAAGAGGGTTTTCTGTGCACAGCAAGGGCTTGCATCCCAATGGACGATCTTTTCGAAGGTTGTCCTTTTGATCTGGTTTTTTACATGGTGGTGGAGAAAAATTCAAGGAACCTAACCCAAAAAAAGGGAAGCAATTTGCACAAGCCGTATTTTTTAATGATTTTTTGAAGATTAATATTTTTGAAAAATCGTAAAAAATCACATTCTATGCATTTTAGGTCATGGTATGTTTTGTTGCACTGCTAAAATCCTCATTTAAATTGTGGTGTGTACATTTGGTCGGGAGATCTTGAACTTTGTAGGGGACGATCTTTTGAAAAGAAGGTTTTTGGTGCACAACAAGGGCATGCACATCAAGGGACGACCTTTTCGAAGGTTGTCATTTTGATCTGATTTTTTGCATAGGGGTGGAGAAAAATTGAAGGAACCTAACCCAAAAAAAAGGAAGCAATTTGCATGAACCATTTTTTTTTTAATGGTTTTTTGAAGATTAAAAATTTGGAAAATCGTAAAAAATCTCATACTATGCATTTTGGGTCGGGGTTTGTTTTGTTGTACTCCTAAAATCCCCATTTGAATTGTGGTTTGTACATTTGGTTGGGAGATCTTTAACTTTGTAGGGGATGATCTTTTGAAAAGAAGGTTTTTGGTGCACAGCAAGGGCGTGCACACCAAGGGACGATCTTTTCGAAGGTTGTCCTTTTGATCTGGTTTTTTGCATGGTGGTGGAGAAAAATTCCAGGAACCTAATCCAAAAAAAAGGAAGGAATTTGCATGAGTGATAAGAGCTTGAAAATACATATTTTTTTAGTGATTCAATTGGATTATTTGTGGAAAAATGTGTTTTTAATGTGAAATTTGAGTTAATTATTTCATAAATACATTTTATGGGATCACAAGTGTATTTTGAGTATCTTCAGGTTAAAAATTATATTTGAATGAAGAAGAATGATGTCAATGGAATTCATGATGAGTAGGAGCAAACAGTGCAAGAATCGGAGTTGAAACGGGAAAGTTGTGACGCGTTGAAGATACGACGTAAAACTTGGAAATCCTTCAAGATGAGCATGCTTTGATGTTTCGATCATAACTTGAGCTGTAGAAATCAGAATTCAATGATTCTTGTTGTGTTGAAAAGCTTATGTAGAGAGCTACACTAAATTCTAAAGATTCCAGACTTGTGGGACAGAAAGAATGATCGTCGCATCTTCTTATCGCCCCAGCAATGGATCATGGGCCTGTTTGGGTTATTTTATTCTCCTAGTCCGAATA